GCCACCACTACAGAAAGGGGTTTGAAGATAACAAAGGTGAAAGTGACAGGATAGAACTAGAATTCCTTACGACAGGATTTCCTATTCATGCACTGATATATGTAGACCTTGCCAAACTATGAAAACTGAAAAACAGCTACAAACTATGAAAAAGTATATTTTTCCCCATCTTGAGATAAAGTGAAAAGGATGACATAATAGGATTATAATTTAGGATCTCTGGAATATTCTGTATAAAATAAGGAATTAAAACAATGTTTTAATTCTCTATTTTATACAGAATAATCTAGAGATTGAGAGAAAAGGAAACTAAAGTGTGGCATCAAAGTGTAAAGAAGACGGGTCATTTGCTGTGTGTGCATTTATATATTTTTCACAGAATCTGTATTTCTGCATTCAAATATTTTTTTGTCATTACTTCATTCCCAGTGTCTCAGTTACAATTAACCAGAAGATTAAGTATGAGTATTAGACTGTTTGATTGCAAAACTCAGTGACCTATGGGGGAATTCCTTGGTCATTTCCATTCAGGGACTCCAACTTGCTTAGCTGGGCCATATATACCTTTAGGCCAAGCATAGAGTAGTGGAACAGACGTACTATGTTTATTAAAATACTCACTGTAAAATTCTAAGATTTACTGCTATTGAAAAACCAGAAGTATTGTCTCTAACAGAGACTGAATTTGGAAGTTCAAGAGAATTGACCTTAGCTTCAAAATTCCCTATTAAAAATTTATAAGGATTTATGTAGATGAGATACTAATAAGATACAAATTTTGTATATATGTATATAAATAAATAAAGTGGGTACATTGGTTGTTCTGCTTGCTCCTTTAGTAGGAATCATATACTCTTTGTTGAATAATCATAACGTGAATATAACAGCAAAATAATTTCCATGAATAATCTGCTTGACACTATATATGATTAAAACATGCTGATAAAATAATGTAGCCCATATACTCAGAGATACATGAAAGCTTCAGAGATACATGAAAAAGTGAAAGTTTAAGAGATGTTAATTGAAGCAAAAACAATAATCCAATTTTATATGAAACCAAAAAAAAGAGGACAAAGGCAAAAACTAATACTAGAAGCCCTAGCACGTTTCTAGTTATATCTAAATGGACATACATGCTTCTATACGTTATTTGTGATAAGAAACCTAGCCTTATAAGTATTTAGTCAGAAAGTATATATGTGCTTGCAGTTGCAGTTGTATTTGTATATATATATTTAGCTATCATGCTAAACACAATGCCTCTTTTTCTCTCTGTGTGCCTTAAAATAAGTTCTGAATTGAACTTAAAATAGCAATAGCAATAGCATTTAGACTTATATACCGCTTCATAGTGCTTTCCAGCCTTCTCTAAACAGTTTACCGAGTCAGCATATTGCCCCCAACAATCTGGGTCCTCATTTTACCGACCACGGAAGGATGGAAGGCTGAGTCAGCCTTGAGCCTGGTGAGATTCGATCTGCCTAACTGCTGGCAGCCAGTGATCAGCAGAAGTAGCCTGCAGTTCTGCACTCTAACTGCTGCGCCACCACAGCTCTAAAATATATCTATTAATGGAAAAAGTATATATTCAAGAATGCTCACAACCTGCTAGGAAAGAATGGAAAGGATATTGCTCCTATGGGGGCATTGTGACCTGTTTGCCAGAAATTTTATAGATAACAGCATTCATATTTCTTCATATTATATGCCATTTATTTATTTATTATTTATTATATATCAGTCCGTTATGGCGAACCTATGGCACGTGTGCCCAAAGTGGCACGCGAAACCCTGTCGGCCAGCATGCGTGGCCTTGCCTGTTTGTCTTCTGGATTTCTGGCATGCATGTCCTTTGCACGTGCAATAGTGCTGAAAACTGGTGTGCGCATGGGCGCTGGCCAGCTGATTGTCAGGTGTGCATGCGTGCCAGAATCCAGAAGTCCAGCTTTTCTGGAGCACGATCCTTTCACGTGTGCAGCAGTGGCGAAAACTGGCATGCGCATGAGCGCCGGCCAGCTGATCATCAGGCATACATGTGCACTAGAATCTGGAAGTTCGGCTTTTCAGGAGCACGGTCCCGACGAGCATATGAGCATGCATGCAACATTTCTGTGCAAAGAAAAGATTCGCCATCACTAAAGAGAGAAAACAAAGCAGTTGAACAAGTAGATTATTTTATGTACTAGGGATGTGAAGTATGTATAACTGCTGCAGCACCACAAGTGACATATTGACTGAAAATATGTCCCATTTTTGTAATGGCTATTCCAGCCCGTAAAATGAAAAAAAAATATGATGTACAGTATATAGCTGTGATGGCGAACCTATGACACATGTGCCAGAGGTGGCATGCAGCACCCTCTCTGATGGCACATGAGCTGTTGCCCCAGTTCAGTGCTGATATGCATGTGCATGTGCCTCCCACCAGCCAGCTGGTCTTCAGGTCTCTGCCATGCATGCGTGGGGGTGGGGTGCATGCTGGGGGGCTGTATGCATGTGGGTCGGGGCATATGCGGGGGCATGTGCGCATGCATGGGGGCAGCCCACATGTAGGGGGACATGTGTGCATGCACGGGGTGATGTGCATGTGGGGGCTGCGCGTGCAAGCGCGGTGTGGTGTATGCAGGAGCCATGCATGCATGCATGCACAGTGGTGCTTGTGTGAGGTCCATGACCACATTGCATTTGGGGGGTTCGGGCCCACACTTGGGGCACTTGGTCAGGAAATGGTTAGCCATCACTGATCTAAGTAATAACTTTTGGACAACTGTGATTAATTTCACCCTGTGGAGGCCAAGGACATGAATAGGAATCTCAATAGTGTGAACTTGGACAACTGTAGACTTTGGGCAGCCAAGAAGTGTGTTTGTTTTTCAGAGGCAATTAATGTCTGTCTTGGAGAGGATATGGTACCAGCAGCCTTAAATGAGTGATGATGTATCCATTCCTGAAGAGCCACATAGTAGGATCTCTGGTCCTACTATATAAGATAGCTTCTATCTTTTTTTTTTTTTTTTGCTTTAATTTATATGCCGCCCTTCTCCGGAGACTCAGGGTGTCTTACAATGCGTTAAGCAATAGCCTTCATACTTTTGTATATTTATACAAAGTCAGCTTATTGTCCCCACAATCTCATTTCACCTACCTTTGAAAGGATGGAAGGCTGAGTCAACCTTGAGCCTGGTGAGATTTGAACTTGCAGTAATTGCAAGCAGCAGATGTTAATAACAGTGCTTTAGTCCACTGTACTACAGGCTCAGTTCTATTCTATCTATTCTTTAAACATCACTTTTGGGAGAAGATTGTGGAGAAGAATGGTAGAGAAGCAGTTGTCAAAAATCCTAATTATTGCAGATCACTTTCAACAATATTCAGTCCCCTCTGGTATTCCTGAGGATCCTTTGTGAGGATCTTGATTAAATAAATGCAGCTCAGCTGGTCCAATCAGAGCTCTCATTGGCATTCAGTATTATCAACTACTGTCTTCTCTTGGACAGCCTGAGAAGTTAGGAGATAAAAGGTACTGTTTAAGGTGGTTCCTGTTCTGAATAAACAATTATAACTAGAAATAATAGGAGTAGAAGAGTCATGCCTCTCGATGTTCCAATATAAGAAGCCACAGAGCTTGGCTCATTTGCCATGTTATTTAATACAAACATGATGTTGTTAGAATGAGACTGTCATGCCCCCCATTGGAGCCTGAATCTGCAGAGGAGGATGAGCCGGAGCTGGAGCTGACAGAGATTGAGGGGGCAGCTGCGTTGGTTTCGGAGGAATGTGGGGAGGAGCAGGACGAGGCAGCCAAGGCCCCTCAGGATTGTTAGCAGGCATGGGGCAGAATAATCGAGAGAGGGCAAGCAGTGGAAATGAAGAACGAGAGAGCTCAGGCAATGAGCAAGGACCGCCCCCTCCTGATCCCTGAGCATGGAGAATGGAGAGAAGGTGAGAACAGCACAGGCTGACCCGATGTCTCGGGAGGAGAGCGCCCTGTCCCTCTTCACAAGGCACACCTGGGGACTGAGATTTAAGGAGATTCCTGTGGGGAGGGATATTTGTTGGGAACAAACACTGAATTTTTGGAGTTTTGTGTGCCATTGCAGATGTCTGGCATTTGCAGGACTGCTTGCTTCTTCTTCCTTGCTTCGTGGACTCATTGCTTCTTCCTTGCTTCGTGGACTCAGTGCCTTGTTCCTTGCTTTGTGGATTCATTTCCCTGTTCCTTTGCTTTGCTGGACTGCTTGCAGCCAGAAGCTGCTGTGTGTGTGTGTGAGTGCACGCTTTGCTCTGGGACTTGCCAAGAATGTGGGAGTGTTTGGGGGAAATTTGGAGCATTAAAGGAGAGTTTGAACCAGGGGTGGGTTCTAAACTTTTTTACTACCAGTTCTGTAGGCGTGGCATATTTTGTGGGTGTGGCTTGGAGGTCATGTGACTAGGTGGGCGTGGCTAGCTGGTCAGAGTCATTTCTGGAAGGTCCTCACACTTACGACCAGTCCTCGCAGTCATATCGTCATCGCTACCGGCTCGGCCGAACCGGACCGAACCGGGAGGAACCCACCACTGGTTTGAACTCTCAGCTGGCAGTGTGGCCTTTGTGCCTTGTCCTGGATCATCACAGAGACAAAACAAACAAAACTAATGTACTTTTTGAATATAAACAATTTGGTTCCATTATGGTTCTAATGTCGGCTCTGGATATAGTTCTTTTTGACTCACATTTAGGGGGCTAAATTGTGATCAGGTTGCCTTATGTTGCAGGTTTAAGGCTATACTTGATATTTATTTGGTATTTATTGAAGTATATAGCCATTGTTTCATTGAATATTTATTGTAGTTGCTGAGAACAGTACAGTTTTAAGATATGGTGGTATATAAATTCTTGTGATAAAAAAAAAATTCCTTGTAGGAAAATTGTTTCCTCCAGAGAAGGAAGAAACAATTCTTTTATCCACTGTTTCCATTTTGCCCTGTAGTTTCTTATTGTTTTCTCATATCTTCAGATAACTGGAGTTAACAAGGAATGGTCTTGGAACATCATAAGAAAGAATGGGGATTGTCATCCCTTTAAGGTGTGCCAGGTCAAGAGACATATACGGCAGAGATTCTTGTAGTAAGGTAGGCTAACCGGCTTTCAAAATCATCTTCATGTTTTTCTGTGTCTCATATTACACTAAACAAAATCAAGCTGAGTTTAATTTTGTTTCTTAATCACACTTGTCTCTTTCGCAGGAGTACCGTATGTAATTTTATCCTCAAGTACTATCCCCACCCCCAGCTTGGCCATTCTTTCCCTATGGCCAAGGTCAACTCTCCATTTCTTTACAAGGTGAGAGAGATCATTCAAAAGAACAGCATTCAGTTAGTGAAGAAACACTAAAGAATAACAATCATAACTACAGTGACCAAAAATCAATTCAATTTCCATATTTTTCACACGAATGTGAAAGACAGTGTATTAAGTGATAGTATTTAAATAGTTAAATGACCAAAATAAGAAACAAAAGTGAATTTTTGAAAAATAAATAAATCTAAAAGACAGCTTTCTGAAATAAAGGACTGTCCTTTATAATAAAGTATGTATGATCACTATAATCTTGGCTAAAATGAAGATTAAATGCGATAATACAGATGTGCTGCTACTATACTAGAAATCAGTACATTATGAGCTAGATAAGATACCACAGATTCCAGTTTGCAGGCTGGAACTATTATTAAAAGATAAATAAAGAAAAGGTAAATAACATGCTATTTATTCCTTTAATCTGAAACAGTGTACTACAGGATAAGCAAATGAAGAAAGCCAAGGCCCAAATTATGCTCAGCTAAAGCACCTGTGGTAAATTAAGCTAGTTATCACTGTCTAACCACCATGTGCTGGTTATTGACAGGCCACTATGAATGTCCCAATAAACCCAAATTCTTCCAATATTGGTAATTAGACTATCCATTTGGTTGTCTTTCATTCCATCATCAGAAGAGTAGAAAACTGTCCATTAGCATGACACCCAGGCTAGGATTATTCAAAACAATCTATCAACAAAGATAAATTGACAATTTAAACAACAAAATTTGAGAAGAGGTTTCTTATCATAGAATTGGTTTTTCCTACCAAATGTTTTAAATCCAAAATACTGATTGATTTGTATATTTTGAACCTATAACTGAGATATAGCCGTGAACATTTACCTGAAAATATGTACAGCACTATAATGAATAGAAAAGTAAGCATTGTACAGAACTGTTTTGGGTGGTAATTTTTTGTAAAATAAACTGCATGACAAAAATATAAAGATATGACAATAAATGTGTCATCTTCTATACCTCAAGGATAAGCTCTATCATACAATCAATTGGAACTCGACATATTAAGATCTTACATCAGTCCTCAACCCTAGGTGTTTATGAGGTTATTATCTGATGTTTATTGATATCAAACAAAAACAAAGGAATATAAAAGTAGAGATTTCTTGTCTCCTTGAATGCAGGGATCCTGCTCAAGTGAATTTACTCCAAGAACCTATAAAATCTTATATAAAAAGCAAACCAAAGCAGATCAACCTACATGAAAATCTCCATTGCCATGACAACAGAGACATAGCATTAAAGGGCCAGAGCATCTTTAGAGAACCTGATTGCCAAAACATAACAATATTGTTTTCAAATGTTATTCTTTGAAAAAGCAAAGCTTATTTCTCTCCGTATAGCATGTTGCACAAAAGAATGATGGATAGCTTGCTTTAACACAAAAAAGAGTATACATTTTATAGCCTATGTTAGAAATGACCAGCTGTAGTGTGAGTTTCAAAAAATGAGAAAGAAAAAATGAGAAAGAAAAAATAATGTAATATGAAAAAAGCAGAAATACTATTCTTATTGTTAGTAGAATTGGATAAACATTGCAGATGAGGTGTAATACAGCGCATAAAGTATGCCCAGTTTGAAAGATTACCAATAAAGAAATTAAGAGCAGCATTTTTAATAACATATTTTAAGACAAAATGTAATGAAATGAAATTTGCAATGACAGTAGTCCCTTCTGTCAGAAAATCTGTGCCAATTTGTTGGTACAAAAGAAAGGTGCTCCTAAAGCGGCTTCACATAAATGTTAAACAGGAGGGGCGAGAGGACTGACCCTTGCGGCACCCCACAAGTGAGGAACCTCGGGGTCGACCTCTGCCCCCCCCGTCAACACAGACTGCGTGCAGTCAGAGAGGAAGGAGGAGAACCGTAGCACGGTGCCCCCCATTCCCACCCCCTCTAGCTGACGCAGCATGATACCATGATCGATGGTATCAAAAGCCGCTGAGAGATCTAGGAGGACCAGGACAGAGGAGCAACCCCTGTCCCGAGCCCTCCAGAGATCATCAACCAATGCGATCAATGCCGTTTCCATGCTGTAACCCGTCCTGAAGCCCGACTGGCACGGATCTAGATAGACAGCTTCATCCAGGAATCGAGGAAGTTGTCTCGCCACCACACTCTCAACAACCTTCGCCGCGAAGCGGAGGTTGGAGACAGGACAATAATTAGCTAATACAGCCGGGTCCAGGGAAGTCTTCTTGAGGAGGGACCTCACCACCGCCTCTTTCAGGGCGGATGGGAAGACACCCTCACTCAGTGAAGCATTGGTAATCTCCTGAAACCAGTGTCATGTAACCTCCCGGGAGGCCAGCACCAACCAGGAGGGACACGGGTCCAGTAAACATGTGGTAGCGTTAAGCCTCCCCAAAATCCTGTCCACGTCCTCAGGAGTCACATGGTCAAACTCCTCCCAGATAACACTCTCAAGACTTACCTCCATCATCCCATCCGAGGCTATCCAATCAGAATCCAGGCTGCCCCAAATCTGAGCAATTTTATCATGCAGATATTGTCCAAAATCCTCAGCTCTACCCTGCAAGGGATTCTCCATCGCTCCCACCTGTAGTAGAGAGCGGGTCACCCTGAACAGGGCGGCTGGGCGGTTCTCTGCAGATGCAATAAGAGTGGAAAAATAGTTAGATTTCGCCACTCTTATTGCCACTAGGTAGGTCTTAATATAAGACCTCACCAGTGTTCGGTCAGATTCGGTGCGGCTGGACCTCCAATCGCTCTCTAGGCGTCTTTTCCGGCGCTTCATCTCTCTCAGCTCCTCGGAGAACCAAGGAACCAATTGAGAACGGCACCAAGTCAGAGACCGCAAAGGTGCGACGCGGTCCAAGGCTCCGGCAGCCGCCCTGTCCCAGGCGGCTGCCAGTTCCTCAGCCAAGCCATGAGTCAGAGCCTCTGGGAATAGCCCAAGCTCCGTCAGGAACATCTCGGGGTCCATCAGGCGCCTGGGACAGAACCACCTGGTCGGTTCCGTCTCCCTGCAGCAAGGGGAAGCGGTCTGAAAGTCCAGCTGAAGAAGCGAATGATCTGTGCATGACAAGAGCTTAATGATTAGGTCCCCTATTGTAAGATCATTCAAGCACTGACCAGAGACAAAAATCAAGTCCAACATGTGTCCCCCAGTGTGGGTGGGGTCATGAACTAACTGGGTCATGTCCATGGCTATCATGGAAGCTATGAACTCCCGAACCGCTTCCGACGTTTCACCGACGGATGGCAAGTTGAAATCCCCCATGACCATAAGCCTGGGGGTATCCACCGCCACCCCAGCTATTATATCGAGCGGTTCAGGCAAGGCAGCTGCTACATGGCAGGGAGCCAGGTACGTAGTCAACAAACCCATCTGCACCCCATGACCCCACTTCACAAAGAGGGACTCACATCCGGCTATCTGAGGAACAGTGGCCTCCCTCGGACTAAGACTTTCTTTAATAATCACCGCTACCCCTCCGCCCCTCCCCTGGGCCCTCGGCTGATGAAATGCATGAAAGCCTGGTGGGCACATCTCCACGAGGGGGACCCCTCGTGGCCTAACTAGGTCTCCGTGATCCCAGCCAGGTCTGCACCCACCTTCTGAACTAAATCATGAATAAGGAGGAATTTATTAACCACAGACCTGGCATTGCACAGCAGCAGCCGAAGGCCTGGGCCCTGAGACTCTGCACAACCTGGATAAAAGAGGCGCCTTGGGGGCCGGAGCACACCACCACTTGCAAACAGTGAGTGTGTGCTCCCCGAATATGATACAGCCCCCCTGCACCCACCATATCTGCCCCTCCCCACTATTTAGATGGAATGGCCCTTCATCTCACCTCCCGGCTCCCTATCTAACCCCCCTCCCTCTCTCCTCCCGCCATGACCCTCAGACCCACTCTGCCGGTCTGTGGTTCTGTGGACCCCCCCCAGGTCCTACCACCCCTTCCTAAAACCCCTTAAAAACTTTACATAAGTCTTAGTCAAAAAACCCCTCACTCTCCTTTTTGCTACATGCCACCTCTCAGGGTTCCAAAATCTGTCATCGAGGTAGGCCCTCGATAAAGTGGAGGGCCAAACCTGCAAGAGGGGGGAGTCTCGCAGCCCAAGGAGTTCTACTGTCGAATACATCTGATATCAGGAGTGAAGGATGGGCTATAACCAGGGGGTCAGCCATGATGGTTTAAAAGTCCAACGGAGGAAATATAGAAGTCTTAGGTAGTAGTAAATTGGAAGACACCACTGCCACTCATGGCAGTGGGAGGAGTCTCAGAATAGTCCAAAAACGGTGGAAATAATGATCAATAATAGCCAAAAAGGCCGACTCCCTCAATACTCATATCCTAAGATAAATCTCTCCTTTCGATTAGGGAGATAATCACCTTATACCATCCCAAACATATTGCTTTATGTAAAAGACAAAAAATGTGAGTTTTTTTTGTAGCAGTGGTTGTAACATCAACGTTTGCAGCCTTTCAGAGACATAAATTGTGATGGAAATTGTTAATTTCTAGAGTACAATAAATGTAGGTATTTATTTTTCTGCCTAAAAATTCAATAATAGTAATAATAATACTGAAAGTCAACAATTTTGCAGTTGAACTTTGGTACTCTGGTCTGGCAGATTCTTTCAGGACCAGTAACAAGGTCTAAGGCAAAATGCAGCCAATTTAGTTAAAATTATTTGTGGTCTGAGATGAAATAATCATAGCAATGTAAGTTCTTCAGATAGAACAGACTAAACTATAAAGGAAAACATAAAAAAATAAAGCAGAATAAAATAGTTTAACAAAATATCAAGATCTGTAATCTGTGTAATCTGCAGATAGAGAGCAGAACATAGCTAACTTCATATACATGAAATTAGCTATACATATACAAGATCTTGCAGGGCAGACCTGAGGATTTTGTATAGTTTCTGCAAGATAAAATCGCTCAGATCCGGGCTGGGTTGGACTCTGACTGGGCAGAGTCTATCGAGGA